AAAAAAAAAAAAAAAAAAAAAAAAAAAAAAAACCCAAAAAACCCCCAGATAATACTGGATCCTGAAGCGCTGCAGCTTGCAGACCTCTTGCACTTAGCAGAGTGGGTCTTTCAATCCCCTTTTCCTCGAGACTGTACCACGAGAAAGCCGTGTTTCTTTCATATTTAAGCACCAAGAACTGTTAAGAAAGATGCAGCCCTAACCAAATCAAAATGTGAAGGGTAGAAAACGAGGACAGGAAAACCTAAGCCTGTTAGATAGGATGTGGGTTTGGGCCCGAACTCAATTTTAGCTGCGTCTAAATTTCATTTCCCTACTAAAATGGTAGGCGGTAGAGTGGAGAAACGTTACTAAACCTCAAAGTATTTTACAAGGAATTTTAAAGATTATTTTATTTGTGCTCCTTTAGCCAATGCATTCTTTAATATATTGGCAGCATGCCCAGCTTTCTGATGTTAATTGATACTTTAAATAAAGGCTACCTCACCAAAATTGTCTGATTGTATTTATCCATTTATATTCACCCAGGTTCCCAATAAATATAGTAAAAAAGAAGGCATTTTTGAGCATTAATAAGAATTAGTCTTAACGTTTTGTTTCATCCTTCGATAACTCCCAAGAAAGTATCTGCTGTGTGTCAAGCCCTGAGAATCGGGCATACAATTATAAACAAGAACAGACATTGCCTATTAAAACAAGATGAAAATAGTTTTTTTTAAAAAAATGTATGTATAGGCCCGAGGATTTAGCTCAGTGATTCCACCACCTGCCTCCCGAGAGTGAGGACCTGAGTTCGATCACCAGTATCAAAAAAAAATAGTGTGTGTGTAGCTTTAGATAAAGAACTTCGAAGTGGGAATAAATGAGGAAAAGCTGAGTGGCAAAAATTGAAAGTTTTTTTTTTTTTTTTAAAGAAAAACAACCTGCCTTTACAAAGGAATGAAAGACCACACTTCCAATGTGAAACGGCCTGCAAGGAGTCTCAAGAAACTAAATCCTGGCTCCACATTGGGCAGAGGATCCCTTGTGGAGCAGAGAGAAAGCGACAGGCAAGGGAGAGGGAGTTGCTGGGCAATGTCTTCAAGTTTCTCATGTTGAAATTAAAGTCCATGTTGTATACCAGGGAGCTACCATGAGCCGTGGGACAGGAAAGGGGTACAAATGGCTCTTCAGAAAGTTATTCTTGCTGTTTCAAGGCAGAGAATAATAGAAGCTGGAGAAATTATAGTACTCAGTAAGTGGCCCATTTATGTGAGACAGATGGCGATGAAGAAGGCAAGGAAAGGTGTAGCTAATTACACAAAACAATAATTGTCACGTGTTGGTGCCAGAGCATGAGCAAGAAGCCAGGTGAGGTGGTGCACTCGCGATTCCAGCACTTGAGAGGCTGAGGCAGGGGGATTGCTACGAGTTCAAAGCCAGCCTGAGCTACATAGTTCAAGGCCAGCATGGACTACATAGCAAGAAAAAAAATTTAAATAAATAAATCATGCACAAGAAAAGTGGCAAAAAGATGGATTGAAGAAACTTTGAATTATACTGAGTGGTTAGAAAACAAGGCATCATCCTATACTCATTTTTTTGTGTACATCCTTTGTCTTAAACCCTTTAATTGCAATTCCAAGTGTGGTCAAGGTCCAGCAGCCTCCTGACTGCTTAATTGGAAGCTCAGCCCCTCCTCAGACTCACTGAATCCTACTCTGCAGTTTAACAAGATCCCCAGGTGATTTGTACACATATTCAAGTTTGAGAAACTACTCTTGGAGTGCCGCTACAGGCTGTTAGAACCTAAGATCTTCTGGGGAAAACACCTGTGATAGATTAATTATAATGAATATTTAAAGATAATTTTATTAGGACTAAATTACCATAGCAACAAGTAAAAAGGGGGTGCCTATTATGAGGGGATTCTTAGGAAATAAAAAATAGATAAGGTGGCTGGGGATTTAGCTTAAGGGTGCAGCTGCCTGCTTCACAAGCACAGGGTCCTGAGTTCGATCCCTGGTACCAACAATAAAAAAAAACTGATATGTTAACATCAATTATTGATAATTGATATGTTAATGTTAAACTGAGCATGATGCTTGGCATTTGCTGTCTGTAAATTCTGGCAATTTCAACTCATGATAGTCTGTAGACAATAGGTGATACCTTTTAAACAATAAATCAAGGAAATCAGAAGGTAGTTTAAGCCTCCAGAGAACAAAAGCCCAGCATCTCTGGGAGCAGCAGTAGCGACCCTGAGTGGGAGGGGGCAGGGGAGAGAGGAGGAGGCCACTTGCAGAGCTTTCCCGAAATAGGAATAGCGCTCCTCCAGTCTGCTTGATATGGTACACCCTTCCCCAGGGGGAAAAAATACAGTTTCCAAAGCAAGCAAGCTGGAGAGCACAGGCCACCTAAACACTTGCAGGCAGGGGCTTGACCCTACTGCCTCATGTCACCGAAGTCGCTGTCCTGCTGTGCAGAGGCGCAAATAGATTCACAGAAGTTAAGCGCACTGCCCAGGCCAATGGCTGAGGCAACCTTCCAGCTCTGGTTCTCACAGGCACGGCTTCTTGTGACCCCAAACGGCCTTGAGGTGGGGCAGGGAGGCAGCAAAGCTGCAGGCTGGATGGCTTCTAATTAGAAAAAGGTGCTGGAGGGGCTAGGGATTTAGCTCAGTGGTTCTGCCACCAGCTTCACAAGCACAATGACTGTTGGATCCCTGGTACCAAAGGGAAAAAAAGAGAAAAAGAAAAAGATGCTGGAAGTAAAAGCTGCCCTGAATTTTTTTTTTTCCTGAGACAGGGTTTCACTATGTAGCCCAGGCTGGCCTTGAACTCGCTGCAGTCCTCCTGCCTCAGCGTCATGAGCACTGGGACTACAGGTATGTGCCAGCCCGGTACTCTTACTCCATTTTTTTTTCCAGTATCAGGGATCAAACGCAGGACCTTGCACTTGCCAGGCAGTCAAGGCTCCACTGAGCTAAATCCCTGGTCCAGTACTCTTATTCCAGCTTCAAATTTTCTAATAACTTCCCTCTACCCTACCCTATTCCCCAGCTCTCCCCCAGTACCAGCTCCTTCTGTTTACCTCCTTCTGGACCTAAAGGACTCAACCCAAAAATCACATTTGAAAAGGTTCTCACCTCTACTTCCAGTGCCCTAATTTCTTACTTACAATCTTTTCTGCTAGTCTTTACACTACTTAAAAGTGGCGCTATCTTATTCATCAGTGCTGCCCTTTGCCGGTATCAACTCAAAAAAGTTTTTTCAATAAATATTTATTTAACAAATGAGAGGAAGGAGCAGGTGATAAACTCTGAGTCCTAATCACTTAGGCTGAGGAAACAGACAAGAAGACACGTGAAGGTATTTGTTTTGACTTTATGAATTTTTCACATACTTAGGTTAACACTTTTGAAGCACTAGTTTTACTACAAATACATTAATTTCAATGGAAATCTTACTAAATGAAATTTCATGCTTATGGCAGACTTAGCAATGATTCTCCATTCATATCTTTTACATAATTCCCTATCTTTTTATTTTTATTAGCAAATGTTTGCAATACATAATGATTACATTCATGGTGGGGTATTGATACACAATACTAGTAACACACTTTACACTTAATGTTGTTTACACTACTTATTGATCTGTGTGTGTGTGTGTGTGTGTGTGTGTGTGTGTGGCACCGGGGACCAAACCTACCTCTGAGCTATATCCCCAGACCTCTTGATATGTTGACACAGGGTCTTGCTGAGTTGTGCAAGACCGGACTTGAATTTTCAATCATTCCTCATTGGGAGCCTCAGCCTCCCAAATGCTGGGGTTACAGGTGTGTGGGGAAATAGTGAAAAGTCAGGGAGAACATAGGAAAAATAAAAAGCATTACTCAAAGAGCTATTTCAATCAGGGCTGGGATGTGATGAATCCAGTGTAGGCCTTTCTCCTCCTGAAAATCAAGGCACCCACAGGTGAGGAGAAACCGAGGGGCGTTGCCTTGTGAGAGAGGGACGGGGTGCACCCTTCCACTGGTTTGCCAGTGTGCCAAGGGAGCACTGT